TATATATATAGAAAGCTTTAAATTACTACTTTAAAACGAAATAATTCAAATCGAAAATAGAAACTCTTTCATTATGTAATCCCTAAAGATGCATTTCTCTCTAAAGGCACGTCCAATGAGATGTCGAGTCATTATTTTCATCACGATAATTGATGGATGTGTAAAATATAAAAATAAGGAAAAGCCTAAAACAGGGCCGAATATAATTTGCGTTTTATTTTATATTTCTATACAATTAAAAAATAAAAAACATATTATAATGGCATAGGCTATATGTAAAACGTTGTCCTATATTTGTATAGCTGCTTATATTTTCTGATTTCTATGTTGCTCTGTTCTGAATACCAAGTTTTAAATTCCTTGTTTTATTGTTGTGATTATTGTTTTTATTTTATTTTATGTAAAGCACTTTGAATTACCATTGTGTATGAAATGTGCTATACAAATAAACTTGCCTTGCCTTGCCTTGCCTATGTTACTAGGCTGCTTATCAGGCTGCACATTATCTGGATCATGTTAAAAATATATGTTCTATTAGAATCCCATTGCTGACTACTTATCCATTATGGACTAAAAACTTACACAAAATTGACATGACACCTCAAGCCTTCTGGAGTCCAGCAACACCGTCTCATCATCGGCAGAAGTGCACTCCACTGCTGCAGATGTGCCTTCCCTCTGCCATATTCAATATAACTTGTATTGATAGTTTTGACAGGATGTGCCAAGCCTATGATTTTAATAAAGAGTACTCACCAGTGGATCATAGTCTGGTGGCTCCAGAAGTGTGTTACCAGACAGTGCAAGGGAAGGCAAATTCAGACCGTCCACATAAAAAAAATCTAAATATTTGATTGTTTTCTATGTGCAGTAGAATGGCAATAATATACCTTGTATGAAGAGGCCAGTTTCTCTTGCTGGGCCAGAGTCAGTGGCTGTCCCTCCCTGGATCCCTTCCATCACTGGCTTCCCTTTATTCAACTCCAGGGCCAGCTCCTCTGCTGTGGTGAAGTCTTGGGTTGGAAGGGCCACCCCCCGTGCCAGATACATGAGCCTTTTTTATGCTGAAATCAATACAGACAATAAAATATGTCAGCAGACACTATTCACCTAATTTGTAAAAACAATTCACCCATCAAGTCACTTACCAGCCTGCAAAATGTTCTTGTACTTAATCTTGACTTGCTGCCAGGTCCTTTTTTGGCCAGATATGCTTGTTCTTTTGGATGGATGCGCATAGTGGATAAGTGTTTGCAATTAATCATACATGTGTTTGCATTAGTAACATGCATGTCCACTGGTCACATTTAAGGCAAAGTGTACAACTGTTAATTTGTGGAAATGACAAATAACTCCTTGAATTGTAATTATGATGGCTTCAGTGGCGCACTGGTTATTTGGACTACTTACTCATTCAATCGGTCCGCTATTGTCTGCCAGACCTTTTCTCTTTGTTTTATTATAGCAGCTGTATTTCCCTTTTTACATATTATATGTTTCACCTCTTCATATTTTTCCGTTAGAAACTGTTGCTCAGTTGGCGAGAAGTATGCCACATGGGTTTTATCCATTTTTGCATCATTGATTCTGTGATCGATCACGTGGTCTGTTTAAGAATGCTGTGAACGTGCACTTATCCCAACTATATACACCTGGCTTGACATAGCTGCACGTTCTCATCCTGGCTCAGCAAACGTGCAACGTACTAAGCCAGGATGCACTGATTAAACTAGGTCAAGCCACACCTTTTCTGTTATCCTGGCTTTCTTAATTCTACTTTTGAGCAATACCCCTCAGGTTGATTAATTATTTACTGAATTTAGCTACACTATAGACAAGTTGTGATGGTGTAAATGAGCCACAAATTATAAGAGAAAGACAGCAAAATAAGGTTTACAAATGTTAAAGAGCACATAGTTGGTGTGTTGGAGCCCCATACCTGGAATTTTCTTAAGGCTCCCAGATCACTAAATCCGCCCCTGGTTGTCAGTTATAGAGAATGACAAGGACTGTTCTCATACACATGAACTCACAGTGCCAGCATTGTTCAATGTGGCAGTCCGCTGTACAATTCACGTTGATTATTGTTGGTTTTGCAGCTGGAGCAATGGCAGAGACAATCACAAAAGAAAAAGAAAAAAAAGATTTACCAGGACAAAACCACCTGTTCTGTGTGTAACAGTACTGTGTATAAAGAGTATATATAATCTATAACCTGGTAAATGTTCAAACAGGGTTTAAAAATGGTTTTCATGGCTCCACTATATCATATTTAATCCAAACTGTAATTTATAGCACCAAAGATGACACATACAGTATGTGTCATCACACAAGTTGGTCTTTTATGAAAGACCACATACAGTAAAATGTATACAGTCTGTAGGCCTATAGATGAATGTTAACTAAATTCACAGGGGGGCAGGTACATGGTGTTTAGTTAGGATTCTCCATACACCAATTTTTTTTTCAGGTTGTTCAATCAAATATGGGTCTCTGAGCATTTAGGCACATGACCTACATCCAAACCAGTGTGATGCAGGTCAGAAAACGTGAGATCCTCAGGATGCCTTTGAGAACAGACAGCCCCATGAGTTCAGGCTGTTTGATGTGGTGTTCAGACGGGCAAAGCCCTCGATGGCTCCAAGCCTATCAGTCACGCGTGCTGTAGAGAGGAGGATCTCGAGCAATAAAGCTTTGGAGGGAAGTAAGTAAACAGCAGTCACGGTGCGCTCCTCCTCCTCTACATGTGCTTCCCCCCACGGCTCTCCTCCCCCTCATCAGAGTGGTGCTCATTTGCATAAAATGTGTGTCAGTAGGGCACAGCTCACATGCAGCTCGCGCATGCAGCAGGCATTCCAATAGCAAATGAGTCCACGCGCCGTCATCTGCCACTGAGAGCAGAGAGGAGGAGGAGGCAGGAGGAAGGGACAGCAGCTCTATTACAGCAGCGTGACTGGGAAGGGAAGAAAGAGGGCGTGTGAACACAGTTCTTGCCATACAATAACACAAACTATTTAAAGGGCAAAGAAAGGAGGGGGGACTAGTGGGGGAAAAGCTCAGTCACATTTTTAAGACACCTGGAAACGTGTTCGGCATTTACTTGTGTGATGCTTGTGCACGTCTCAAACTAGTTACGCAGCTCTGCCTTGGAGAACGACCTTTTGAAGGAAAGCACTACTGTAATGTACACGATACAATCTTTAAGGACATCTTTCAAAGAGTGAGGACGGCACATTGCCCTGCTTACCTGAAGGACATCTGGCATTAGAGTGTCGGCTTCTTTCTCGAGACATTTCCTAACAGACTTCTTGAAGTTCTCACCTGTGTGGACGGAATTTGAAACTCGCTGAAAATTATGGACCCGACTCAGATACTTGCATTTCCTTCATCAGCATCAGGAACAGACACCATGGACGGCAGTCCAGGTGAGTTAAAAACAATATATTGCCTATAAACATCCATTAATGTAGGTAGATTATTTGCACGGCTATAGGTAGTGTTGTTTTATTCACCCATTTAGGTATTTTAGATAACTCTGTCATTTACTTTAATATCTTGTTTAACTTTAGAAAACGGTGACACGAATATATTGGTATTGAGGTTGGATGTAAAATGAATACAAGCTTGACTGTCAAGATTTGTAATTAAATAACATTATATGACATGTTTATAATTTTATTAAAAAAAAACACGTTGCAATTAATAACAAATACTTTTTTGACTATGGCGAGCCTGCCTAACTACCAATGACTACCAATGTTTTGCCAAATGTTTCCGGTCTCGCGTTGCACGTAAACAAACTCACGTGCAGTGCGCTCTTCCCAGTAGACCCTACATCATGACGCATCATTAATCGTGTTTGGTTTCGAGGTGTGACCTCTGGCCCAGTGACTGGTCCCTAAGTTGCAATCATAAAAAAGAAAAGATCTAGCCTAATTCTGTTCCGTTTCGTTTGCAATTTAGCACCCGTCTCCAGTATGGGGGGTGGGTAAAATCCAAACCCAACCTTGGCTACTACAGTCAAGGATTTTCTTTTCGACCAGGTTACTTGTGCTCATACTGTGATTCATTAACCAAGTCACGCTCGTGCACCAGTGACTGATTGTCATTATCTATAACCTTTACATTCACTCGAATACGTGCTCGATCGTGCATGTCAATAACTGCTCGTGAACATGTGAGAAGATAACGATCACTTATCCTGAAAGGTACTCAGTCGGTAATACAACATTTAGCTAGGCCTATATGGCACAGCAGGCAATAAACCCATTTTATTTACAAGCATCACATGGTCTTTCCTTATGAGACAATAAAATGTTTTTAGATGGCTAATCTCAAGTTATTTATTATAAAGTCGTAAAAAGGTAATCTATATTTATATAATAAGCTTTGGCATACAATATAATAATGATACATACTTAACACAATAACTCAGTAGGCTCTAAATTTCAACACTGTTCATTTCTTGTAGGCTATATTGTTATCACAGGCTATAATTTGCTGTAAGGTTCAACCATCAGTATGTTATAACATTTCAATCTAAAATATCAAGATCTCTGGAAACACAGCTGTGCTGTCACCGTCCTATCCAGTATGTTTTTTTGTGAATCTGGTGGCAGTGATTTCTAAGAAAGCGCTCAGTTTGCCACCTGCACGTTTTCCGTGTCATCAGGCACGATGATGTCAGGTCACAGTGGCATTCATACAGACAGACTTTCACTTTCACTGTCACGAGGATCAACTTCAAACTCCACGTGCCACGCGTGATTTCCCAGGCACACACCCCCTCCTTGCTTGTGTTTTTGTTCCGGCAGCTTGTGTGTCATGCAGCCTCTGAAGGGAGGGAGGCTGGTCAGTGGGTCAAAGTCAAAGAGGCACAGATCTGAGCTCAGCTCTTTCTTCTCTGCCTGCATGATCCTGATGTTTACAGCAAGCACACTTTTAAGTGATAGAAGATGCCACTTTTAAGGTCATGAATGGCTCATGTGCACTATATAAAAGTATTTTTCTAAGATGTAAATGAAAGATTACTGGATTCAGTGTGTTACTTGTAATTATGTGGAATATTTACTAGCAATTTCTGAGTGAAAATTGTTTGACAAACAAAGCTCAAGTGTGTAACTCGCATATGTTCATTGCCCCAGTACAACATCTGATAGTGTTCCTTAATTCTGATGCATTATGAACACTTTATTATTCCTTTAAGGGATGATGTTACAAATAAATTATTAAAAAGTGAATGATAATAGTAATAGTTGTTAATTTGTGAAATTTGCATAAGTTATACTACACATGTGTATTGTCTCCAAGAAGATATAGCAATATTGACTGGCTTTTCAGCAACAGCACATATCTGAGGACATCCAGCTCTCTGAACAAACCTTGAAACAAGAAATCAAAGCCTCCCAACTGAGAAAGCTCTCCTGCCAATCAGTGAAAATGGAATTTACTTAAAGGGATAGTTAAAGGGATTCTGCCATCTTTTAATTACTCTCATGTCCTACCAAACTGTATAACATTCTTTTTTTACGTAGACATTTTTTTTTACAACTACATAGAAAAGTACGTTTATACTATTGTGGTTTAAATCCATTCACAAAGTGATTATAGCCTATTTAAATGTACCTTGCATATCAAATGAACACAGTATGTTTATGTCTATATCTATCATTTATTATCATTATTGCTTTCGAGTGGGAGGTTTGTTTTCCCTCATGGCAGATTCCACAAAAGGGCAAATTCAGACAAAATAATTCAATAACCCGTTCATTTATTAATTCTTAAACTCACTCACTTTCACCCATATGCATGCGAGACACATTACACCCTAGGAAAGGTTTCGTGTCATGGTCTTCAGGGAAATTGTATGTGTATCCCGTAAAATGCCACAATGGTCGTGAAAATGGTGTTTATTTCGGGTGGAATTAAATTGGGAGTTATGTAGTTATCTATATTTCATATATATATATATATATATATATATATATA